GGGGGGTGAAGGCGGTGGAGCCACGCTAGGTCCCGGCTCCCGTCGGTGCTTCCCGCTCTAAATGGCGGCCGGTGTCTGTGTGTGCGTGTGTGTGGCAGGTGTGAACCCCCGGCGCTGCTCCCCGGCCGGGCCGGCCGCCTCCCCCGCTCGCCAGCCCGCCAGGAAAGATGCCCGGCGTCCTGCCGAGTGACAGCACCGGGCCTGCCAGAGGGAGCCCTTCCAAGAAGAACAGGCTTTCCCTGAAGCTCTTCCAAAAAAAGGAGGCGAAAAGAGCGCTGGATTTTACCGAGTCCCAGGAAAATGAACAAAAGGGTGCCGAGTTCCGGGGCTCCGAGATGTACGTAAGAGTTTTGCTCCCGATAAGTTGGTCCTGGCTCTCTGCTGGAAGCAGCCCGGCGGCTCGGTGAGGCTGCTGGGTGTCACGGATAAACAGCCCTGCACCAGCCCCCCCTTGCAGTTGTATGTTCTTGCATGAGGACGCGCCTCAGCGTCTGTTAAATAAACCCCTGAGACAAGTTAATCAACCCCAATTAACTATTAACCGTGCGCTATGGATGTTCAGCTGGCATAAACTTCAATAACTTGAAGAAGTTACCTTACTTGAAATTAATATAAGGTAGTTACTTGGATGCTGAGTTATTTAAAGTATGTTAAAGCGTTAGGTGTTGCAAAATGAGGGTTTTTTTTTAAAAAAAACCTTAAAGTTTTTTTCTGGTGCAAGTAAAAGAATGGATTGTGCTGCTTACTGCCGTTCATGAGGGTCTTTCAAGCCCTGAGTGAATCTGTCAGCTCAGTTCATTGCAGCTAGCGAGGAAATTTAAATAGGATTTAAATTGAGAGAGATTGCTTAATCGTGGTTAATTACAGTTGTGTTGGAGACTTAAGTATTTGGTTCTGTTCTGTCAGTGCGGTGCATTATCACTGTATGTAATACGCCAGATTTATTGGATCCTTTTTGGTTTTTCTGTGCTGTTTTTTATCCTTTTGGTTTGCTTCTAGAAATGAAGCGCTGTGAATCTGGAGCAGGGGACAGCAATAGAAAGTATTTTCTAGCCTTAGGAATGAACAAAGAACATACAAAAGTATTTCAAAGAGAACTTTTTTGGTTCCTTAAATCAGTGTCCTGATACTTTTTGAATTAACAGCAGATTTGTTTGCTTCTTGTCAACCTGTCTGGGTTTGTGTAGGTTGCTGAAGAGCAGTGGTACAGTCGAGCAGTCTGTCTTTGTTTGAGTGCCCAGAGTAGCCACACGCACACTCTGCAACACTTTTGATGTGATTTTAATCTGTATATATTAGTCATTAATTCTATAAGCTACCTGTGAGATGGTAGATGGCCAGGAGAGAGATGGGTACCAGAAGGAGTCATTTTCAAAAACTGTCCCCTACAGACTGTTCTCTCTCTTTAACAGTGACCAGGTTGTTCCTGCGGCACAGCCTCCCGCGCT